TACCTGTGTGTACGACAGACACAGTGGAACTAGAAGACTGTTGATCCTTATACCATTTGAGAAATTTGTTGAACATAGCAAGTGTGTCTGATGAAATAGAAGAAGGAGGATCCTTAGGAGATAAAGGTGGGGAAAGATCAGTCTGAGCAACTGCAGTAGATCGAGTAGGACGACCATGTAATGCATAACACTTGTCAATCTTGTGACCTAGTTTGCCACAATGTTCACACTCATGTAATGCATAACACTGGTCAATCTTGTGACCTAGCTTGCCACAATGTTCACACTTAGGACGCTCTTTTCCCTGTTTGCGAGGGCGAGTTCGATCATCACGGTGAGATACCAATGCAGAAGAATCATTAACAGAAGCAGGTGTGTCAAGGTTGGGTTTTGCTGGTATACGCAAAAGAGTGGAGCAGGTCGATGTCAAGGTAGGGACAACCGGAGAACCCAAAATCTGATCACGAATATGTGAATATTGATCAGCAAGTCCGTGTAATGCCACTAGCATGAAGAACTTTGATCGTTGTCCTATCTCGGTGGTAGGGTCGGGGGAAGGAGACAATAACTCATTGAACTCATGAAAAAGAGCATGAATTTTGCTCATATAATCAGTCATAGAATCTTGATGTTTAGAGGCAATAACATCTACAAATTTAGAACAGACATCATAGAGACGTTGAGTATCATTGTGTATAATAACTTGGCATGTTCCCAGATTTTGGCACATGTTTCGTAGGAACGAAAAATTTGTTTTAACGAAGGATCAAGAGTACCCTTGAGAACCACACATAATTGAGCATCAATGGTGTCCCAACGGTCTTCCTCACCAGGAGTGAGAGTAGGTGCTTTCGGGGCAAGATGATCAAGATACTTCTGACTCTTAAGCCATAATCTGACGTCTGATGACCATGTGGCATAATTAGGGTCAGTTAACTTGTCAATAGATAAATGCACATTAACATAGTTAGTGTAGATGGAAGGATCAGACGCAGTACTGATAGAATTGGAAGTACTAAAAGGAGCGGAAGAACTCATAAAGGGCGGAGGCGATAGTGACAACGGCGTGAACCAGTACACCAGGTAAGTTTCCAGGAAAGAGAGGTGGGTCACTAATGGACACGCTTAAATACCAAGTCTTTCCTTGTCAGAACTTTCCTAGACATGCACTTTCATACTACCAAATAACCGACAGCGATAGCGGCGGTGGTGGCGGCTTCAATAGTGGTCAAAGGCGAAAAAAAAATTTTCAAAATAACCTTAAGCTCTAGATACCATGTTGAATATAGAAGAAATAGAGTTTGGGATTAATCTCCCTTGTGTATAAATCACACATAGGGTAGTTTATTTATAGTAGAGAGATACAACTAAAAGAGTAACTGAAAGTAACAGAATAAACAGAAGATATTGTTTGATATTATGGTTAATATCTAACAATATCTTAACAATATTAAATAATATCTAAACAATATCTAACAGATGCATATTTATATGAGCTGCTCTCTTATGCCATAACCAAGGGTTCTCTTCCTTAGCAACTAAACATGTTATACTAGAATCATGTAAACAATCCAAATCAATCAAGTATATGTTATTATGCCTAATGCCTTTTAATGCTACATTTTCGGAATCTATCAAATGCATGGTGCAAAATTTACTTTCAAATATTACCTTAAATCCTTTGTCACATAGTTGACTTATACTAAGGAGATTATGCTTTAGCCCATCAACAAGAAGCACATCCTTAATCTCTAAAGTGTTTGCACCACCTATATTTCCAACTCCAAGAATTTTTCCTTTGTTGTTGTCCCCATAAGTTACATATCCTTGTTCTTTAGCTTTGAAACTCACAAATTTCGTTTTATCACCGGTCATATGCTTTGAGCATCCGCTATCAAGATACCACATAGACTTCTTTGATTTGGAAGTTTCTTACAAAACAAGAACATAGTAAACTTAGGTCCTCATAACTTTTGGGTCCTTGGGGTTAGAGATAAACAAGTTATTTAACAATAGGAACCCAAATGTATTTTCCTTTAGGAACACCAAAATGTTTTATTTTACATCTATTTGAAGTGTGACCTTGTTTCATACAATAAAAACATACTTTAGATGTAGCTTTTGAATATGATGTATTTCTAATCATGGATGCTCTAGTCCTTTTTCTACCCATACTCTTTTATTTTTAATCTTAGGCTTTTTCAAAGGAACATGATGGTATACTCTATTTTGAGCAATAACAACTTTATCTTTATTAATGTTACTTATCTCCTCTTCGACTTTATCTAGCAAATGGTTAAGTATATCTATGTCATATTCATATTCTTTACAAGATACACATACTATGTTCTTATCATTATTTTCATCTAAGCATACAATTTTCGTTTTTAAGGTTTCCTTTTCCTCTAAACATGCAATTTTCGTTTTTAATGAATCAACCTCCTTTTCGGATCTACTTAAACTCTTTTTCACAATTTTATATTCATTTTTCAAGTCCTTAAAGACACTAAACAATTCATTATATGCATTTTGCAGTTCATCATAATTATTTTCATCATCACTTGAAGATGAGTCGGAATCACTTACCTCAAAGTCGAAAGATATGTTGTCATTTGCCATTAAGCAAATATTGGCTTCAACTTCCTAGTCACTTGATTCCGAACTTGAATCACTGTCATCCCAAGCAATGTATGCTTTCTTCTTGAAGAACTTTTTGCCTTTGTTTTCTTCATTTTTCTTGTTTGGACATTCGGTCTTCACATGTCCTGTTTCACCACAACCATAACATTTGATATTTACGGAAGAATTTTCCCTTACCTTTCATTTACCTTTGAATGAATGTCTTCCTTTGACTTTCATGAATTTTGTAAACTTCTTTATCATAAGACTCAATTCTTCTTCTTCATTCTCCGAGTCTTCTTCTTTCTTTTTATTCTTACCTTTGAAAATTTCGGTTTTGAAGGCTAAGTTCTTCTTTTGATATTGTCTTTCCTCATCATTTAGCCTTCCTAGCTCTAGCTCATGCTCTCTCAACTTTCCAAAGAGCGCCGCCATAGACATTGTGGCAAGGTTTTATGACTCCGAGATGGCCGTCACCTTAGGTTGCCATTTCCTATCCAAAGATTTTAAGATTTTAACATTTAATTCATCAACGTAAAAAAATTTACCTAATCCGGTGAGATGGTTCACAATATGAGTGAAACGCTTTTGAACGTCAAATATCGTTTCGCCTTGTTGCATCTGGAACATCTCATATTCTTAAATTAAAGAATTTTTCCGTGCTCTTTTGACGTCATCGGTTCCTTCATGGGTCACTCTCAACATTTCCAATATCTCTTGAGCACTTTTACAAACAGAGATCCTGTAAAACTCGTCAAGGGTTAAAGCAGATGAAATAATATTTCTAGCCCTAACGTCAAATTGAGCTTTTCTATTTTCCTCTGTTGTCCATCTAGAAAAAGGTTTAGGAATATCTACTCCGTTCTCAGTAACTTTAGGAATATAGGGACCGTTTAAAATAGCGTCCCAAACGCCTCTATCAACAGACTCTAAAAAGATTTGCATTCTTATTTTCCAGAAAAGATAATTTTGACCCGCAAAAAGTAGGGGTATGTTGATAGACGCACCTTCGGCAAAAGTTTGATTTTGTCCGGCCATTTTCGAAAAATTTGAATGACTATCAAAGCAAGCTTTGATACCACTTGTTAGAATCGCGCAGTGGAATGTTCGCGTTGTCGGACAAAACCCAAGAGGGGGGGTGAATTGGTTTCTTAACAAAAATTAGGTTTTAAAAATTTTCCCCAAATTTTACCGATTAAAATGTTGTGTAAACGTAAATAAGATAGAGATAGAGTCTTACACAGGAGATTTATACTGGTTCGGATCAAAAGACCCTACGTCCAGTTGCTAATCACTCAAACTGAGGATTAAAGTTGTCACTATAATCAAAGTTATACAAGCAGATTACAAATGAAAAAGATAAAGTAACGAAAACACCTCTCTTGAGTCCCACAAGAGATGAAGAACAGTTTTCCCTAGAGACGGCACAGCACACAATCCACTAAGAACTCCACTTAGTGATTCTTATCGCTTCTAGCCCACACCAAGTACCAAAAGCCCCTTTTTCCTCCAACAAACAGTTCTCTGGCAATCACAGCTCTCAACTTTTGTTTGAAAAAGGTTGTTCTATTTTTTGAGAGCCTTAGAGAACCTTAAGTAGATGAATTAGGGTTTGGGAATTGGAATTGTCGGAACTTGGAGTATTGGGATTAGGGTTTTCGAAAATAGGTTTAATTTGAAGTTCAAAATCCAAATCTGACTGAAATAATCGATTAAATAAAGTGTTAATCGATTATTATAGAGTCAAAATCAATAGAACCCAAAACGCACTGGTTTAATCGATTATTTGCCCTGTTAATCGATTAACAGGTGTGTTAATCAATTATTATAGTGAACAGATACAGAAAATGGTTTTTCTCACTGTAATAATCGATTATCTGGTGATTTAATCGATTAAACCCGAGCTTTTTTGATAAATATGAGTTTTTGAAGCTTCTAAAGAGTAGATTATGTACCGGCTATCTTAAACTCTAATATTACAGACTCAAACTCATCAAAACAGAGTTATTACACAACAATACAAGTCTTCAACTCTCTAAGTTTTTTGTTCTTGAATCATCATCAAAATTAACAAGCTTCATGTCCATGTAAGTTCAACATCAAGTCCTTGTGTGTGTTCAACACTATTCCGAGAGATCTGATTCGTTGAATAATCCATTTCAAGTCAGGATCAGATACCATTTTTCAATAAATCTTTAAAATCTAAAATTAAGTTATGGTTTTCCAAACATAACAAGCTTTAAGAGCAAAAATGAATCACTAACATATATGAATGAAGAAAATCTTATTTTTATGTGTATATGGATAGATAGATAGATAGATAAATAGATAAAAGAGTACATGGAAGTTATTGTTTGATTAGATCTAATCCCAGCGAAGAAATGCTCAGACATCCGTGGAAGATCACCATCCAAAATTACACAAAAAAGAGAGAAACGAAGAAGAAAAGGTCTTCAATGGTTGCTTCTGAGCCTCCAAAGTTGTCTTCTCCTTATGCTCTTCAATTTCCCTCTGTTTTTCTCTCTGTTATCCACTGATTGTCCCTTTAGATTTCAAAAGAAAACTATTTATATGTTATTGTTCCAAAATAGGCAAGTTGAAGTGAATTCTGAATTGTTGAGCAGTTCTAAATTCTGTCTTCATAAATTTCGTTGATCTAATTAGGATTCGTTGAGTGAATCTAGCTCTAGAGGAAACACATTCAGTCATAAAATTGTCTTATATAAGGATTATGCTTTTTATCTCCTTCATCAGCTTAGTAAAACTGAATTTGCTGAGTGAATTTCCTACCCTGATTTCCATGCTTTTTGTTCCTCTACTTGTTGAACGAAATTGGATTCGCTAAGCACCTTTGCATTTTAGCTCTAGGGTCACCCTTCTTGTGTTGAGCTTAGTGAATTTGAATTCGAATTCCCTTAATTGGACTCCTATTTGCTGTAGATCCTGGGCTATCGCACATATGACAATACCTGTTAAGCTAATGATGGTAGTGGACTTAAGATTGATTGAAACAGTAGGCATATAAGATTTATCTTTCTTAAATTATATTTCTATCTACTTTATATATTGGACACTTACATATGTAGAGCTCAATGACAGTGAAAGCTGATAGAGAAGGGGGCAGGCCACTTGAATTTTCCATTGAAAAGTTAGATATCAATGGTTTTACCGCAGATCAGGTTTGGGGCAGAAGCAAATTTATGCCACCATGCATTTTTCATGCATATACTCCAGACCAACCTGCCTCATCTGGTGAAACTCAGGTAACATGTTGAGTATGCTATCTTTAGATAAGAAAAAATGTGCAGTTCTTTTAAGTGTTACATGACATGTGTTAAACTTTATGCAGAAACCATCAGCTCAGAAGAAAACGTCTTTAATCTTTATTTGTGTTCCGGTTAGTCCTGGTAAAAGTAGATTAATATGGTGCTTCCCAAGAAACTTCGGATTGTGGATGGACAAAATTGTACCACGATGGATATTTCATGTGCGACAAAACCTGGTTCTAGATTCAGACCTATATCTCCTCCATGTTGAGGTAATTCCTACTATAATTTATAAATATTTATCCGGTTGACTAATCAGTTCCATTAGTCTACTTTTTCCTCTTCAAGCTGTTGGAAGTTATGCTGCAACAACTTATTTCACTTAGTGGTATTCGATACATGAATTAAACGATGCTATGATGTTTTGTTGTAAATTATGTTTATTTCACTTGGTGTTTTATCATAACACCCGAGGTACTCTTCCATTTCATTCACCTTGCTTGAATCCTATGGTTTACATCTCCCGTTTTGCCCATAAAAACAATAAAAGAACGATACTAGTAGTTACTATTATATCACAGCAATATAAAATTCAGTAACTAAAACTTTTTCAATGGATTAGTTTATTCAGCTTGTCTTTGTGCTGGTTAACTTCTGAGGTCATTCGCAACGAATTTTTTTATCAAAATATTAGTTGATGATATTTTCACTACGAATGCTTGTTATACATTGTAGTTACCAGGTTAGCTTTATCTTCGCATTTGTGATCAGGTGATTAATGTATAAAATCTCTTCTCTATATATTTGTAATTGATTCTTTATATTATTAGTTTCTTTAACTGACATATTGATTACCCAAGTTTCAGTCGGTATCACAGATTTTAGGCTTGATGAAAATTTATATTCTTCTAACTTGAATAGTCTCAAACCATTTTTTTAGCCTTGGTGAACATATGGACTTTTCAGGTTAAGAACGGTAAACTGCATATTTATATTTCCTACCTTTATTAACTTTCTGTTGGTCAAAATGTTCGGGAGTTTGTTCCATACGAAATAACTCTAATGCAATCTGCAGCTATATAATTCCAAATTTGCCTCAGCTTTTATGATTGAATATCTCTTAAAAGGGTCAATAATTTTCTTAAACAATAATGAAAAATCTGTTGTTTTAACTACTAATTGCCACCGGTATTATGTTCTACATGTAACCTTAATTTACCTATCTTTTATTCTTTTCTTGCCTGTTTTATTTGCTTTAGTTTTGGTGTCTACATAGAAAAGAAATATCCTTGGAAAATAATTTAATTTGATCCATTTTTGACAGGAACAAAAAATAATGGATATTGGTCCAAACAATTGGCAAAAAGCCTGTTTTGTGCCAACAAAGTCGGATGCCATTGTTATTGGTTATAGAAAGTGGTTGAAGAAGTATGCAGGTGGTCAGGTTGATTGGAGAGGAAAATATGGTGGGGCTCTTCTGTAACAAGTCCCACATTGGGAAGGTCTCCTTACCAGGGAGGCCTTATAAGGTAGGAGGTTCTCCAACCTCTTGAGCTAGCTTTTGAGGGATGGTTCCCCTCTTAGCTTTATGGTTGTTACAATGGTGCTTTCATTGAGAGTCAGCCAACTCGAGAAGGGGTACCCACGGAGGGTTCTGACCGCCGGAGGGTTCTGACCACTGGAGGGTTCTGACCGGTAAGAAGGCCGAGTAAAGTGCCGGTGAGTGAAGTGTCGTGGAGTGCAGCCATCGAGGACGCTGGTTTTCGAACGGGGTGGTATTGTAACAAGTCCCACATTGGGAAGGTCTCCTTACCAGGGAGGCCTTATAAGGTAGGAGGTTCTCCAACCTCTTGAGCTAGCTTTTGAGGGATGGTTCCCCTCTTAGCCTTATGATTGTTTCATCTTCCTCCAACACCTCCAAGAGAGCAGCTTATGGACAGGTATTATATAAGATTGCACTTGAACATATAAGTTTCAGTTATGTTATATTATAAATAGATTGGGCATTTCCTTGAATATGTTTTACGGGAAGAATTTTAACGAGTTAGTATACCTTTTGGTCATTGGATGTGGCAAGTTGAGTTGCTTTGGTCCTGAAAAAGTCAGTGCAGATTAGTCCTTCCAGGTATGGAATGATTTACAAGTTGACAGCTTAAAAAGGGTAAACTTGTTATAGATCTGTTGGTTTTTTAGTTAGAGATAAAGAAATGTGACGAAGAAAACTAGCAAAGAAACGTAAGAGAAAAGTCTGCTTTTGGGGAAACTGAAATATTGTATTTTATTGAATGTAACTACTATCACACTGAAATAATAGAGTAAAACAGATTATGCTCCATGACTTTAAACTGATAATGGGAAAAGAAAATAAAAAAGAAACTTAAATTAGAAACTAATATTTATCCATGATAGAAAAATGCGTAATTTGAGTTATTCAAACTAAAACTACTTTGACAGAATCTCAAAATACTTTTTCATGCCTTGAAGACTACGAATGCCCAGCTTCTTCCTTAGAAATTCAAATCTGCTGAATGAAATAAGACTTTGTAAACATATTAGCAGCTTGAGCGTCAGTTTTACAATAAATAATGCTTATATGATTATTTTCTTGCACTTTTCTTTAAATAAAATAGCTGCTTGCTTATCAACAAAAATTATTGTGCTTTCGTCTTCAGTTTTACTATAAATGATGCTAATATCACATTTTCTTGGTACTTACTCTTGAAGTAAAATAACCTATTAAAGTGCTTGGTCTTCAAACACATGATTATAGGAGATTGAAATAGCTGCTTGATTATCAAAAAAGTTGTGCTTTGTTCTTGCTTCAATCTCAATCTGCTAAAACATTTCTTAGCTAGATAGCTTGACTTACAGCTACTGTTGCAGCAACAATCTCTTGCTTTTCTTTGAACACCAAGAAAAGACACCTGAACCGTACTGAAAACAGTACCCTAAAGTACTGTTCATGTCATCCAAGCTAGCCCACTCATTTTCAGAAATACCAAATAATTTAAAGTCTCTTACCTTGTAGTACTTGACTCCATAATTTACAGTTCCTTTGATGTATCTTACAACTCTCTTCCCTGGTCCTTCCTGACGTTGTTGGTTAAAAATTAATTTGAACAGGTACTGGTCCCATGTGGTGAATTGCAAGAGTTGCAATTCTGCATATAAGAGCCTCAATGTGGCTGAAGTAATGCTGCAGATCATATCAGTTGCTTCAGTTGGGATTGTGGCCACCATGAAGCAGGGTACAATGTCAGTGGCAGCAAGAAACTCAATGGTTGTGTTAGCAGTACTATCATTTGCATTGTCTCGGTGGTTAGCTCACTTCATATACAAAAACTTCCGCTATCATGACTATTATGACCATGCCTTCCGCTAAAATACGTTTTCCGTAGTTCCTCATGTCCACATATTTGTATATACTATAGTGAAGCTCCACAAGAATAAAGCCCACATTCTCAAGAACCAAAACGGAACAGATCTGTGTGGAAAGTATAATGTTGTGTTGGGTAACATCCAACAATAAAGAAGAAAATAAGAATGTAATGAAGTGATGTTGAAGTTTCAAACTGAAACAGATCTCCCTCTATGTATCCTTTGTTGCTCCTCAACACTCATCTGAGGTCATCATAGGCTTATGGAAGCTTCAGAATCTCTTGTTTTATTTTATCACCTTTAATGTTCCCCCTATATTAATCAATTGACATGACATTGCAAGATTACACTAAAAATTTAAGTATGTTGTTTATAAAAAAATAATATATAATGAATTCACTAAATATACGTCTCTTTAGATAAATTTACTTACTTGGATTTAAAATAGTCAAAATCTAAAATAAAATTAACAATGTTTAAATAAAAATATTATTCATGCAAATTTTACTCATAATGTTCGCATTGTAACATGATATATATTTTTTATATTTAAATTATTTGTCACTTTATTAATTAGAATTTAATTTTTTAAACGTTATATTTTAGAAGTAAAAATAAAAGATATTTTTTTGAAATACACTTATTTACTTTGCAAAATCAGAAAACATTAGTTACTGGTACAATTCCTATTACGTGGAGACATTTTAAGTAGGAAAATTTTAGTAAAAAATGGTCATTTTGTTATTCAACCACGTGGCTTTTTAATATTTCATCAAATGCCGCAAAGCGATATTTCAATGGACTTATTTGGAAAAGTTTCACTACTGTCAGAACAATTCAATGTTAAAAGGGAAAAAATCAACTAAAATTAATTTATACGTAAGTTATAAATAATAATTTTAAAAAATATATACTGAACTGAAAGTTTATTAAAGTTCAACAAAGCCAAAATCACTTGCTTGGTGACAACCGGAAACACGTGGCTTCTGCATGAAGCGAGCCTAAAATTTCAGCATCACACAAAAATGAACGCTTTCATGAGCCTCTAGTTTTGAGTTGAAGTATGTAATTTGAGGTCACCACTGCGTGTTGCTACTTTCCTCTCTTCTTGTACTCTAATCCCTTTGGCTTGCAGAAAGGAACATGGAAGCTTTATGTGTTTTTTCTGTTGGCACACTTCACATCCCGACAGCATTAGAAACACCAACCTCATTTAGGAAATCAATATTCTTGAGCAACCATGTGAATTCACCAATTTCATTGGTTCTCAGGGGAAGTTCAAAATCTAAGTTTTTCACTGCCTTGTCACCCCCTCCATTGACAGAAACCAGCAACCAACCCGAGTCTGAGCCAGAGTTTGAAGGGAAAGAAGAGAAGTTTGACTGGTACTCTCAGTGGTACCCTTTAATGCCAATTTGTGACCTTGACAAGAGGAAACCTCATGGAAAGAGGGTGTTGGGCATTGATGTGGTTGTGTGGTGGGATAGGAATGAGGGTGCATGGCAGGTTCATGATGATGCTTGTCCTCACAGATTAGCACCCTTGTCTGATGGAAGGATTGATCAATGGGGCCGGTTGCAGTGTGTGTATCATGGTTGGTGTTTCAATGGCAAAGGAGAATGCAAGTTCATTCCTCAGGCAAACCGTGATGGCCCTCCGGTAATTCCTCTTCGTCATAAATTGTAGTTAATGTTGTTGTATAGCTTCTAAATCATTACTTTTTTATGTTTCATTTCCTGTGTAGTATGACAAAGAATCATAGTGTATTTATACACGGTCAGGGTATTCACAAAATCTAATAATAACTACTCAATATATCACTAATATCTTCCAACTAACTCCTAATTATCTTCTTACTATCTTTTTATTCAAACAAACTCTTAAAACTAATTATTTAATTTTATTCAACAAAACCCAACATATCCAGAATACACTAGAAAATAAAAAAACTTTTCAGAACTTTTTACAATCAAAAGATTCTGATTTGCATGCACCGTTTACTCTTTTCCTGGCCATTAATTTTAGTTGTCTTTCATTCTATTAAACGTGCAATATTGAAGGTGGAACCATATTATGTTGATGCTTGGAATGTGAGTAGTGTCTTATGAGTGGTTTGGTGGTGTAAGTTCTGACTAAATTTGTTGGTTGTAGTTGTAGATATCACTGATACTTCAAATTACCCTGGGTCACTACCACTAGGCATGTCACCCATGGCCAACTCTTCTACCTCTTTTTGTTTATCTGATGATATGTTTCTGTAGATTTGTGTAATTTGTAATTTGTTTGTCTCCTTCTAAATTGAAAATGTATGAGTTACATTAGACCCCGCCCCCCAAAATTTAAACATTTCAGTTTGTTATTTTCTTTCATAAATCAACTTATCCACTTTCTGTAGTTTTGAAAGTCACCGTGAACCATTCATATTCAGTAGTTTCTAGTACATAATCAATTTACAGAATACAAAAGTTAAGCAACTGCCACACCACACAACTTCTAGTGTGTTTTCTAGAAAAAAAAAAGTAGTTATCATGGTTTAGTTTTGTGCTTCTTAAGGTCCAATTGTTGTAAGTCAGATATGACTCCTACACCTGAACTTTTAGCCATTTTACCAACTGTAAATCACACACATCTCAAACTCAAAATTTGAGTTTTTTTATCAGCATATCCATCAGCCAGATGAATGTATGATAGTTGAATAGGAACTTTAACACATTTAGTAAAGAATCATTACGTTATGATTATTATGAAACTCTGGAGGTAAGTCACATATGACGCACGTTGGTGTTCCCTTACCCACTTTCTTTTCTAAATTGTTAAATGCTTCTCCATTTCTTCTACTTATAATTCCTTGAGCAATCAACAACTGAGGATATAAAAGGGTACCAGTAGATTGATTCTTCCATTGTTTGCTGTCTTGTCATCCTATCCGCCTGAAATGCTCCATGTTAGCTTCGGACAATTCGATTGTCATTAAATTGTTCTGACAAAAATTTGCAGATTCATACATCCAAGAAAGCATGTGTAGCTTCTTACCCAAGTACGGTGCAGAATGATATCTTGTGGTTCTGGCCCAATAGTGATCCTCAATACAAAGATATTATTACAAGAAATCGGCCCCCACACATACCAGAAATAGATGATCCATCTTTTACGAAATTAATGGGAAACAGAGACATTCCTTATGGGTATGATTTTTAGACTGATATAATCTTTTGTAGAACTGCACATTTGTATGTGAGTCACTTTCTTTAACCTGAAGCACTGCTAATTTTATTTTTATTTTTTCCTTGTGATTGGTAATTGGCATAATTATGCTGATTCTGGAAGATGAAAACAGACTTAAAGCATTATATTATGCATAGAATTTGCATGTGTGTCAACCATATGTCCCACTTAGTATATGCAATTTCAGGTATGAAGTACTGATAGAAAATCTTATGGACCCTGCACATGTTCCATATGCACACTATGGAATAACGCGTACTGCAGAACCAAAAGGTAGGCATATAAGATATATCTTTCTTCACTGGAGTAAATTTCTATTTACTATGACACTTACACATATAGAGCTTAATGACAGTGAAAGCTGATAGAGAAGGGGGCAGGCCACTTGAATTGTCTATTGAAAAATTAGATATCAATGGTTTTACAGCAGATCAGGGTTGGAGCAATGCAAAATTTATGCCACCATGCATTTTTTATGCATATCCTCCAGATGAGACTGCCTCATCTGGTCAAACTCAGGTAACATGCTGAGTAAATATTATCTTTAGATCAGAAACAATAGGCAGCCAATTTTGTAAAGGCTGTTTATACTTGAATAATGTGTATTCAACTTAATGCAGAAGCCATCAGCTCAAAAGAAGTTTGCTTTAGTCTTTATTTGTGTTCCGGTTAGTCCTGGTAAAAGTAGATTAATATGGTGCTTTCCAAGGAATTTTGGATTGTGGATGGACAAAATTGTACCACGGTGGATATTTCATGTGGGGCAAAACCTGATTCTAGATTCAGATTTATATCTCCTCCATGTTGAGGTAAATACTGTTATAATTTATAAACTATTTATTCTGTTGACTAATTGATTCCATCAGTCTACTTTTTCCTATTCAAATTGTTGCAAGTTCTGCTGAATAAAGCTATCTGTTACACCTTGTGCAACACAAAAGTAGGAAAAGAACTAATACTCACTGAGAAATAGGCCTTGTACCTGGTGTTTATTTCAAAAGAATAGAAAATGTTCAACAATACGATTCCAATGACTTCCCCTACAGGATTTCACAATCCTGGTTCCACACTTCAGAATACAAAAAAACATACCCCAGCCCACAGGGTTACCTCCCTATATATAGTCTTCTGTTAAGAACACCAACTACTAACAACCCAACTACTGCAACTAATTAATTCTTCTGTCTTTCCTCCTAACATAAACCTTCAACCCCCTTACATCCCTAACACTATCGTAGAGAGGAGGAGCAACAACAATTTTTTGCACTAGGTGGTATTTGCTGATGCTACATGTTTGGTTGCAAATCATGCTTATAGACAAACAAGCAAATTATTCAGTTTTTATTCCTTCTGTAGGTCTTCCATACTACCTACTAAGACAAGGTTGCATAATCTATTTTTACATAGGTGCTACCCCAAAGTTCTTCTCCAACGCATTTTTAATCCTATCTTGTCTATAAAAATTTAATTTCATAAAAATTGCAAGTTTTATCATTGTATAGTAAAAATTTTCTTTAAGTTTGGGTGAAACTTTTTTATCATATATAATACTGAGCCTGAGGTACTCTTCCATTTCATTCATACTGCTTGAATCAATAATAAATAATAAAACAAAGATATTAACTGCTACTTTTACATCATAACAATATAAAACTCAGTAACTGGAATTTTTTCAATGGATTGGGTTATTCAACTTCTCTTTGTCCTGATTAGCTTATAAGGCCATTGCAATAAAAAATTTGATCAAATTATTAGTGGATGATATTTTAACTACAAATGGTTGTGAAACATAGTAGTTGCCTGGTTGAATTTATCCTTGCGTCTGTGCTCAGGTTATTAACGTATAAAATCTCTTTCTCCAAATATTTGTAATTGATTCTTTATATCAGTTTCTGTATTTATGACAGATTGATTGCGTAAGTGTCAGTCAGTATCACAGATCGGGCTTGATCAAATTTATATTGTGCTAACTTTATTACTCTCAAACCAACTTTTTTAGCCTTGGATGAACAAATGAACTTTTCAGATTAAACATAAACTGTAAAATGCATATTCATATTTACTACCTACATTAATTTATATTTTAACAACCAGTTATGTTCTACATGTAACCAAAATTTGGTGTACCGATCTTTATTCTTTCTTGGCTGTTCTATTTTCTTCAGTTTTGGTGTCTACATAAAAAATAAATATATCCCTGAAAAACAATTTAATTTAATTCCTCATATTTTATTATAAATTATTTTGATAGGAACATAAAATAATGGATATTGGTCCAAACAATTGGCAAAAGGCCTGTTTTGTGCCAACAAAGTCAGATGCCCTTGTTGTTGGTTATAGAAAGTGGTTGAAGAAGTATGCAGGTGGTCAGGTTGATTGGAGAGGAAAATATAGTGGGGCTCTTCCTCCAACACCCCCCAGAGAACAGCTTATGGACAGGTACTCACTCAATGAAGATTGCACTTCAACATGGAAGTTTCAATTTAGTTATATTTCAAATAGATTTGCCATTCCCTTCTATATGTTCTAAGTGAAGAATTATAGAGTTGTTTTGGTCCCTGAAAAAGCCTATCCAATTTAGTTCTCTGAGGGATGGAATTATTCACAAGTCCACAGCTTAAAAGGGTAATACAGCTTAGTTCAAATGACTTTTGTGGAAAGTGTTACAAACATTAACCAATGAGGAGAGGTTTAAGTATATGACTGGAGTAACTAACTACAACATATCAGAATTCAGACGAGAGAAATTTAATTTGTTTCACAAAATCAGGTTGATACCTTTGAGTATTTCTTTTTCCTAGTAGTTAACAAAGGCAAGTAATCACAAAAATGTTAGGATCGAGCGCTTACCACTAGGCCAAAAGCTATAGCCATTAGTCAGAGCGCAACTCTTTTTACTTTAACAGCCCAAGCACCACGATTCAATTGTGACTCGGTCCACCTGACCTTCGTCACAGGACAATTGATGCTACCTGCAACAATCTCCCCCTCAGCAATTGTCCTACAAGGTATCCCACTCTTGGATTGTGACTTGGCCCACCCGGCCTCTGCCACGGGACAATTGTGCAACCTGCAACAATCTCCCCCTCAACAATTGCCCACCAGGAATCGAACTCGTGACCTTGGCTCTGATACCAATTGTTAGGATCGAGCGCTTACCACTAGGCCAAAAGCTATAGCCATTAGTCAGAGCGCAACTCTTTTTACTTTAACAGCCCAAGCGCCACGATTCAATTGTGACTCGGTCCACCTGACCTTCGTCACAGGACAATTGATGCTACCTGCAACAAAAAAAACATGTCATAAACCGGGACTCAAGGTGCATCCCTGCATGTAACAAGTTTTAAAGAACATAACTGCATATATAATACTATTAAAAAATGGAAAACTTTTTAGCCCTTCTTAAGATGTTCTTTCCCTGCTCCTGACATTGCTTATTAAAAATTAATTTGAACAGGTACTGGTCCCATGTAGTGAATTGCAAGAGTTGCAATTCTGCATATAAGAGCCTCAATGTGGCTGAAGTAATGCTGCAGATCATATCAGTTGCTTCAGTTGGGATTGTGGCCACCATGAAGCAGGGTACAATGTCAGTGGCAGCAAGAAACTCAATGGTTGTGTTAGCAGTACTATCATTTGCATTGTCTCGGTGGTTAGCTCACTTCATATACAAAAACTTCCGCTATCATGGCTACGACCATGCCTTCCGCTAAAATGTGTTGTCCATAGTTCTTCATGACAAAATGTATGTATATACTGAGTCAAGGTCCACAAGAATAAAGTCACTGTGCCACTGGATTTGACTTTTATAATTTTAGCAGATAATATAAAATTAAAGTTAAGAACATGGTCTTTAAGATTACAGTTAAAATTATTTAATATTCTCTCGGTTTCTTTCTCCTGTATTTATGCATATAGTTAGAATTATGGCAGAGAAAATTAAGATAAGGAAGAAGGAGAAACATAATATGTTAGAAAAAATTCAAATTAAAATAAGAATTATGATATTTTATTGAATAATAATTATTAAAAGATCAAGACATACTCATAAATTAAGAAATATAATGATCCCTAACTAACATATTTACCCTCAGGTAAAAATAGTAGTAACTAACTGATTTGCTCCCTCAAGTAAAAGTAAAAGACAGATATGAATTTGTATTTGTTTAGTAACACTTGTTGATGATGTGATTGATTGGTGTAACCACTATTAACCAAATAACTTTCATTTTTATTCATTTATAAAAAACAAGTTACCATAAACAATAGGTCATCGTTCTTTTGATCAGCAATTTAAATCATTTCTGTGGTGACTTTTAACGTGACAAATCATAACTTCATGTCTCGTCTGATTGCACTTATTGTATTTTGTATATAGTGTCTTCCTACATCCGAAAGGTAAAAAACCTTTTAGTTGCAAATGAGAACAACTATGATATTTGAATGAACAATAACGTTTACGTTTGGGGAACAAATAAACCTGATTAGTGAATGAAGAAAAGGCATGAGAGTGTTAAATACTAAGAAGTAAACGGAGACAAAAGAGTGACGAAGTAAATACTAACACACACCACTGAATGACGGGTCACCAGATTCAGATCCACCGTCGCCATCACCGTCACCACTACCTCTTTCTCTAACCCCCCAACCAACCAACCCTACCTTCTTCTCTTTCTCACATTCAGATCCTAAACCCGAAAAATGAAGGACTCAAACTCCACCACCACAACCAGTACCAACGGTGCCAGAACTGAACCCATTGCCCAGAACATCATAAAACTTATAAGCAATCTTTGTTTCTCCGTCTTCGTCTTCTCCGTGCTAATCTTCACCGTCATAGCCATAACCTACCAACCCCCAGACCCATGGCTGCAGTCCACCCCAGCCCTAACCAATCTCTTCACCCAATCTCAAAACGCTACCTTCCGAATCGACTCCTCCGTCATCAAAACCGGCGAGGACCTCGCTCCCTCGCCGCAGGACCCTCCCCTCCCCCCGCCTACCCCCTCCGCCGCCGCTGTAACCGAAGCCGTCATCGAGAAAACCGAAGAGCGAATCCTGAACTCCACCGCAAACTCCACCGCCCCGCCGCTCCCCTCTCAAGCTGAATGTGACCTATCCCTAAATTGCTCCGATCCTCGCGTCCTTATATCTGTTCAGAGGTTTAACCTCCGCGCGTTCAAGTCCATTGCCTTCTTCGACTATCAGCCACCGGTGAACGGCTCCTCCACCGGCGAGTGCGACGTGGCGTGGCGCTTCCGGAACAAGCGGGAGCGGTCGTGGCGTAAGTACCGCGACTTTCGCCGCTTCAAGATCAGCGTCACCGACGATTGCAGGTACAAAGTGGTGCACGCCGGCGGGTGGCACTCCGGCACCAATGCTCGCCGAAATTTTACGAGGAACGGCGCCGGTAGGGGTGGTAAGACCCTGCCGCCGCGGGTTTGGGCCCGCGATGATGAGATCAATGACACGATTCCGACTTTGGGGTCGGAGAATAACTTTAGGAGTGGGAAGTATTTGTATTATTCGCGTGGTGGGGATTATTGCAAGGGGATGAATCATTATCTGTGGAGTTTCTTGTGTGGGTTGGGGGAAGCTATGTATTTGAATAGGACTTTTGTTATGGATTTGAGTGTTTGTTTGGCTTCCACTTACAATCCTAGTAACAAGGATGAGGAAGGGAAGGATTTTAGGTACTATTTCGATTTCGAGCATTTGAAGGAGACAGCCTCGATTGTTGAGGAAGGTGAATTCTTGAGGGATTGGAAGAAGTGGGATAAAACCCATTTGAAGAAGAAGAAGATTCCTGTTAGGAAGGTTGTCACTCACAAGATGACTCCTATGCAGCTTAAGAAGGATAAGAGTACAATTATATGGAGGCAGTTTGATGCGCCCGAGCCTGAGAATTATTGGTACAGGGTTTGTGAAGGTGAGGCTGCTAAGTATATTCAGAGGCCATGGCATGCTTTGTGGAAATCGAAGAGGTTAATGAATATTGTAACTGCGATTAGTGGAAGGTTGGACTGGGATTTTGATGCAGTTCATGTGGTTCGAGGAGAGAAAGCTCAGAATAAGGAGCTGTGGCCTCATTTGGATTATGATACGTCGCCGGATGTTCTTCTTGAGAAGCTTAAAGGGATGGTTCAACCTTGGAGACATTTGTATGTTGCCACCAATGAGCCTTATTATAATTACTTTGACAAGTTGAGGTCAAATTACAAGGTCCATTTGCTTGATGATTATAAGGAAATGTGGGGAAACACGAGTGAATGGTACAACGAGACGAGTCTTCTCAACGATGGAAAGCCTGTTGAGTTTGATGGGTACATGAGAGTTGCAGTGGATACAGAGGTCTTTTATCGTGGAAAAACACGCGTGGAAACGTTCTATAATTTGACTAAAGATTGCAAGGATGGGGTCAATACATGTTGATCAGGTTGTCACTACTGATTTTGATTCTTATTCAGAATACATGGTACACTCGGGCCTTACTTTGGGTTCAGTTTCAGATTCATGCCATTGGGTTAAATATGAGTTTGTTGTTGTACTTGCCTGTTCTTTTATTGTATTGGTGAATTTGTGTTTGTTTATCATGATTTTGTATACATACTATAGAATTCCTTTCTTTCCTCTTTCCTTCAATTGACTCTAGCTGCTAAAATTCCTTCTCTTTCCTCATTAGACTGTTTGTTCCCAGAATTACCACAATGTATTGAAAATTAAGAAGGGTTCTTTGCTGAAGCCCTTTAAGATTTTATTTGTCTTTGATGTTTGGATTTGGTGGTGGCTCTGCATTATAATTTTTCTGAAGTCATACTGAAATCCTAACATATACGTATTGAATGCTTACGTTACTTCATCTCTAAACACAAATTGTTGCCCTAATTCAATTCCAACCAAACTTTTTTATCTCAATCCTACTAGCCCTGTATAGCCCAAATAATTTTACCCCAATCCTAACACCATCTATCTATGCTTCCTTCACTTCTGTATCAATGTCTCTTTTTGACTGCCAGGAATCTGTTTACACCCATGCCATAGCCAACTAACGACACTAATTTGATTTCACTCTTATGCCTTGAGGATGGATTTCATTTTTAAGCAATTTAGATGAACTATGGGTTGTATCACTCGTATGTATCCTTGACTTGCGCTTGACTTGTCTACTTACTCTCAAAGGTCTGTTTAATTGAGATTATAGATTACTCCACAAAGAGATGCTATAAATATTCTTGTACAAGGGCAGATTTGTTTCACAGAGCTGATTTTACATTAGAGACGTCTGTCTGTGTATAAGAAAATGAAATGGGGCAGAATAATACCCTCCTCATCATTTGTGTTGGAATTCTGTGATGACATTACATTTATGATTTCCTAATGGTGATTAACTGCATTGAGTTGTACTCTGGGTTGTTTAAACATGACAGAGGTGCAAGTGAGATGATTGATTATCCAGGAAAGAGAAAGTTTGTTCTGAATGTATCTGCAAAGCATGGCACCCTAGAATTGATGATCTGGTCATTTGCCTTTTTATGTATTCAGTTGAAACACTTACATGAGAAGCCATTTGATGATGCAAGTTTTTTATTTTCTGTTATACGAAAGTCAAACACTATCTTTGACCTCTACCCAAATCTTTGACAGCCCTTATTGAGTGGTTTGCTTGTCAGTTCAAGGTTTCCTCCTGTAAAGCGCAAATATGATCTCGAATACTCTGTGATTGTATAGGCCTGCATACTTAACCGTAGTTTGTGTTTGTTCCCTATTAGGTCTCGAATAGGAAACGTATGTTCTACCACAGGTTTAGACTTAACTTTTCGACTCTACCTATAAATTCACAAAAATTGAAATGCTTTGCTAAAAGATAGGACATTACCAATGCATTTCTACTCGTGAGAGTGTAAGATCAAATCCTGTGTAGCTTCCAAGTCTTTTGAAAATGAAAAACCAATTGCTTATAAGAGTAAAATATGAAATGCTTAAAGACCAGACATTAAAACCAGGGAATAACCGTATCTGGTTTCACCATTAAGATCTATTGTGAAATGTCCGTTTAAGCAATGTTGTATAATAATTACCGCCAATCTATGATCAATTGGATTCATTCTTTTGTACACACCTGATGCAGCTGCCAACAGATTTTATGGGTCTGTTATATATATGAAATAGGTGCATTTTTTAAAAAATTATAAAAAAAGTACGTATTTAATTACAAAGGAGTCATTCTGTTTAAATAAGGTACGTATTTCCAAACCTTATATATTTTTAGGGAAAAAAAAATGTACGACAATTCTAATATGTAGTCTTCGAAGCGTGTTCAAAACATTCCGAGTGATTTGACTTTATATAAATTTAGTTTAATTTATTTTCTTTTTATTTACAAATATAAAAAAAATAGATAAGTAAAATTAAAATTTCATTACAAACAACAAATTATTCTTTATTTTCGATCTAAAAACATAATTCATGAGAATTACTTAAAAAAATTATTATTTTAGAATAAATAACATTCATTCTAGAATAATATGTTTCATTCTTAAAAACTTCCTTTCTCCTCTGCTTGAAAATACAAATCCCGCGGTAACTAAAATCTTTTTGTACACACCATTTGCCACGAACATTACACATGGTTGCAATTTCATTTCCCTATCTGCCCAGCCAATCTTAGATTAATACAATCCTGTTCTCATTCAACTTCTGAATCCACCTTCATTTCCTTCCTCGCGCTTTTTTTGTCAACGGCTTTTTTAACGCAACATGTCTTCCATCAAACCATGGATTCTATGTACCTATTAAGAACTGGTAACGATCGGTATGGGGAAAAGCTCTGTATGGGGCTGTACCAGCAAACAACTCCATCCCACTATAGCTTTCATCTTTCCACTTATAATAATATCAAAAAACTCTTAAGATTTTGACATTATTCATAACACGATGGCTTTGCCACGACTTAATTATTTTGCAAAGAAACCATCTTTATGATCTGCGACAACTAAGAAAACACTAAAGAGGAGGTAAGATAACATATGCTGTTAATTAGAAAATACGAAAGGGTTGGATTTTCTTTTTGGCTGAAGATAACAGAGAAATACAAAATCGCAATATTTGCCAAGTCTAAACGTTATTCCGTATAAAATGGAAAACACCAAAAAACATTTAACCGTGGCAACATTAAATGTAGCTTAGGTTTATGTTTTGTGCTGACGGCAAAACTAATCAGCACAAGACCGTCCATAAGCACAGCATTTGAACGAAATTAAAAAACAAAGTTAACCAATGCAACAGCTTGTCTTGCAAAAGGAGACAATCGTAATTGAGCTATGTAGGGAATGATTATCATCTCGCACAAAATCCTCAAGACATGCAAAAGCAAAAGGATCAGAAATAAGGGGAGATGACATAGATATGGCACATGCTTTGAATTCGCAGGCTATAATAGAGCGTTGCAAATCTTCGAAATGTGCAATGTAAAAATTAGACTGAGGGAAAGCAATAAAATATAAAAATAAGACGCAGTAGCTACAAGAAATTAATTATCACGAAGTCGTGGACTGTTTCAAAAAGCAATTTCTCATTCTACAATCTTCCAAGACAACCATAATTTAATTGTATATCACTCTACAACCTCTCATGAAAAACGAATTAAAACAGGGATCAAAATCCAATTATCCCAACGTATCAGTACAACTACAAGACGTAAGTGACTATTCATCCTCCTGGCTGCGTAATCTGGCTGTTTTGTTTGTTACAACAATATCAAGTTGCGCAGCTCTCTCAACTATTTCTTTCCTCTTTCTTGTGGACACATTGTGCGCAATCTCGGCGCAGTACGTCCTGAAATTTAAAAAAAATGCAAAACATTAGATAAAATACAAAGCACAAAGAACTGAAAACACGGAATTTAGTACTGAAGCAAAAAATATGAATTCAAAATCAATTTTAAATAAAATACTTAACCTGTTGTGCATCATGAGGAGTTCCAGGTCTTTCACGTTGCTAACAACAAATTTCTTGAAACCGTTTGGGAGATAGTGGCGAGTCCTCTTGTCAGACCCATATCCAATGTTTGGCATCAACACACATCCTTTGAACTTTCTCCTAACACGGGAATCTATACCCTTCGGCCTGCGCCAGCTAGGCTGTTGAAAATTTATGGTTAACATACATTGGTCAGGTTAAAAAATAAATAACAAAGATAAATAATTTATGATTAAATAAGCAAATATTAAAATTTACATAATTTTTTCATAGCAAAGATAAAAACTGTCCAACTGTAAACAGCAAAAACAGTAACAGAAAACCCGTAAGTATAGACCAATTGTGTCACAATGTGTTTAAAATTCATCAATGCCCTACAAACAAAGATGTCCAGCTACTATGTTAGATAAAAGAACAAGACTCCAGATACCATGGGCAAAAGATAAAGACACAGTAAATACTAAGAATAATAACTTATGCAAATAATTTGTCCTGCAATCTCAGCCGAAAGATGGTGATTTTTAAGAAATTAATCACAGGTAATCAGCTAATTATGGAAATGTCATCACTGATTGCAGATGAGACAATCATCTAGAAAAGGAAAAAAAATAGTTATGACAGTTTAAATAACTAATGAACGAAATGTATTAATTGAAAACAGGTTTATGCAAAAATGTATAAAAACTGTAAACAGGAAAATAGTAACAGAAAGTCTATTACAAGAGCCAACTGTGTCGCAAGACCTGTAAAAGTTTTATATTTGCCCTTCAAACGAAATGTCCAGCTACAGCGAGACAAAAGTCAAAACTCTGGACATCAGATACCATGGGCAAATAAAAAAACCATAATATAAAAAGCTATTAAGAAAACTAAATTGATGATTAACTACTGACACTTGCAAGAGATCAGATGGTAGTGCATGTTAGTGATCATCACATAAACTGCAGATATAATGGTTTAACATCATCATATCTCTTAGCCTTTTAAAAAATGAAAAATTCCATTTAATAAGACAAATGAATTTTTTCAGAAAAAATAACAGCAAGAATGATCAAAAAACAAAACGCTAGTTGATTAGAAAGGTAAAATTAAAAATGAAAATGCCGAAGCAAAACAAAAGATTTTGTTTAAAAATATTCATTAACGGATGAGAGAATTATATTTCACCAGGGCGCACCATAGGAGCAAGTAAGACTGGGTGTCAAAAAGTTGTCATCAATTCGAATATTTACAGTAGAAAAAAAAAAGAAAAATCATAGACAACATAGAAATCAAGCAATCGTTATTAACAAGCAAAACACACCAGATCCAACTGCTCAACACAAATGACAACTCTAAAATATGGGATCAGATAGTCGATCTCTCACCACTTATAAAAGTATATAGTAAGACTGGGTGTCAAAAACATATCCTCATATCCCACTAGTCGATGAAAAGTAAAATCAAACTGAAATAACAGTACATCATAAATGGCAAAATGAAATTGATTTCAGCCTAAAAATTTAAAAATTGACAATAATTACCAAATCGAAGGATCAGATAAAACGTCAATCACCATCTTACACCTTATGTGCAAATTAAGACTGGGGCGACATAGTACTATCATCATATCCTTTACAAACACCTCGACAGAACAACAAAAGTTGAATTAAATATAAACAAAATCACCATTCCACATGCAAACTACAAATCAAGATGTATTATCACAATAATCACTTACCAAGACGATAAATATTAACTTTCTTGAAAACCGCTAAGTACAAAAAATGAAGAAGCGGATAATGTATACCTTCACGGAAATTTTGCGGTCACTCTGAGGCCTCTTGAATCTCTTGACCCTCTTCTTAATGATCTTCTTGGAGAGTAGAGGCACGGCCATTTTCTCAGAAGTGGCTTGTTGAACTAGGAGTTTGGTATAGAGTATATATAAGCACAGCAGCTATTAGGGTTTTTTAGCTATAACAGAATGCATCTATTCTAGGGTTTTTTGGATTGAGATAAGTGTAAATAGAATTGGGCTAAAGAAGGCCCAACCAATAAGAAAGACTGTTGTTGTTTACACTTCCCGAGTTTCTATCACCACCCCAAGTATTAAATTGATGGTTTTGATTTAATCTAGTTTTTTATATATTCTTGTAGAGATAGACAATTTATTTGTGGGTATGAAGGAAGTGAAATGAGTGTATGCCAAGTCTGTGGACAGATAGGTCATTAAGTTTACATGTTAAGATTTAATTGTTTTTAATGGTTTTAAATATGTTTTACAAATGGTTGCTTATCTCTAACATATGCTCAGCTATCCTTACATTTGAGTCCATTTATTTATTTATAGTTTTTATTCTCCAAAATATACAAATTAATACAAAGACATTTTAAATTAAGGAAATTTTTTTTATTATTTTGAAAACAATACTTACAATCCTCTCATTTTTAAATAAATATTTGATAGTTTATGTTTTTAATGAAGTTCATTTTTTATATTTTTCATAAATTAATAATATTTTAGTTTATTTAAAATAACATATTTATCAGAATTTAAATAAAGAATTATGAAAAACAAAAGTTGGTCCTTATGGATGGAATAAGTGAGTCAATCAAAAGAATAATATTATATTTATATTTTCAAATAGATTATATTTATATTTTCAAATAGATTATATTCACCAGTTTTATATTAATAATAAATAATAAGGATATAAATATAATAATAAAGTAATAAATGTATCATTATACTTTATAATTATATATTTTTTTATATTAAAATTTTAAATATATTTTTATAAGAGAATAATTTAGTGACAACATAGTTTATTTAAACTTTTAGTCAATATAATATTTTAAAATAAAATAAAACTTAAGCCTATTTTTAATTGAAATTACAAACAATATAACTAGAGGCAAAAAGTAATCACAAGGGGAGGACAGTTTGCAAGTGAATGAATGATTTGCTCTATTCGTCCTTGATATTGTTTCAATTTGTCATGGATCAGCAAAGGTCTCAGTTACCATAAGTGAAATAATATTGATCAATCTAAATCATTAAACTATATATATTTATTATTTAGTAGAGTAGGAAAAAAAACATAATTTAAAAGAATACATATTTTCTCAAAATAATTATTTGTTAAGATGAAAAAAAAAGAATAATTATTTTTATGTCATAACTAATAGAGCATATTTTTCACTTTAATCTTTTTCTTCCTTTTTTTCATAATTTATTTTAATGATTTTGTCAAACATATTTTCCACTTTACACATTTTCTTTTCCTTTATAATTTATTTTAATAATTTCGTCATATTATAATAACGAGATATAATTAGTAATAATAAAATAAAAATAACATTAATAATATGTTTTCACTTATTTCATTTCAAATTTTTTTCTTTTTGTGTTTTTTCTTTACCATACAAATCTTATAATATAAGATTGTTGTGCTTTTCCTTTTCAAATGCATACCTTTTTTTTATGAAGTAACTAAGGAAAAAAACATTTTGGCATTTATAAAACTTGTTTCATACATTTCCATATTTATAGAAACATCATATTCCATTTGTCTGGTAAAGGTGATAATAGAACTATACAAACAAATATAACCTAAAAAAAATGTGTGTATGAAAAATTTGGCTCAACAGAGCCTTAGACATTTATTTATTATTTTCAAATCCTTTGAATGTAAAAATCGTCCTTTCATATAATATATATATTTTTGAAAGATATCTAATATTTGTTGTGAATGTTAAAATGAGATTATGAAAATAAATCATTTTGGGACATATTTTTATAACGTCTATAAAAAGAGTTTTTATAACATGAGGGGCATGTAACTTTCATAAGTAAATAATAATACTACAAATTGCATAATATGTTTGGAATGTTAAATTAATTATTAGAAAATAGTTTTTCATATTTAATTTTTCAATCAAAAGCAAAAAATAGTGTAGCAGTGGCAACAAAATTATGAATATAAATTTATTATTCATAATTAATTAAAACTTTAAGTTATTTATTTGCAATAATCTCATTTCTAAAATAATAAGTTCATCATCTAATGAAACTACACATCTAAATATAATTTAATTATTTTTAATATAATTTGATTATCTTACTTAATATTTGAATGTTAAAATAATTATAATTAATGGTATGAACTAAAAACATATTAAAAAAATATCGTAAATCTAAAAATATTTTCTTAATTAGAAAAAAAATAAATAAAGATGAGCTTGGTTAGAGGATGAATAAAGAGATAAAAGAGTATATATTTTAAAAAACTAATATCATTGAGGGGTGATTAATGAATAATTAATATAATTTATATGCAACAAAAAAAATTAATATTGTAATAAGTAATATTATATTAATATACTAAATTATTATTTGGTTGGCAATTGTCAAATAAACATTTCTCTTCTCAACAATGATTATCTTTATATGCTTGTCCTCATTTCATTTTATCTCTCTTCACTTTGTTTATATTTTTCTGCAGCTAAATAACTCTTATAGTAGGATACGTGGATTAGACATTTACGATAATATTGAAATAAAAAAAGAAATTGTAAATTTAAAAAAATTTTAAAAATTTTAAAAGAAATTTACGATAATATGAGATAATACTAAATTAATTATAATAGCAATATTGTTACATATATTTATAATACTATAATTTGTAAATATATATTTTATTTAATATAACATTTACTAAAATTTATTAATTTATTAAATCAATATATCTTAAAATTATGTTAAATCAGGTGAATATTATTTTAAAAGCAACACTATTATTTCCAATTATTATTAATGGTTAATGTTTTATCATTTATTTTATACAATTACTCATTTATTTATTTAATTTAATAAATATCAATAAAAGTAACATTAAATTTTGAGGAAATTATTTATTTCAATTTTTTTATAATATATAATATATATCCATCCTCTGTAAATATTAAATAGAAATAATATACATAATGTTTTAAAAATATAACAAGTCATATGAGTGGGAGGTGACAGAGAAGGATGAAGACCATGAAATAAAGTCTCAGGTGGTTTAGGGTTTTGGCCCAACTATAAATGTAATTAAGGAAAAAGTTATAGGCCTAGCTTACAAATCCAATATTGTAACTGACAACCCCAACACTGTCAATCACCAGAGCAAGGAATTGAGTGGACCATTAAAAGCAACAAGAGCAATCAAATGGGCAAAGATGGGTATTTCCAGCATCTGTATTATTAATACCTAACTCATCTTCAGTGTAGATGGTAAATCCGTCCTCAGTTTTCTTTTTTGGGCGAGAAGGTCGGTCTGCAAACTCACCATCCTCTGATCCATCTGTTTTCCTCTTCACATTCTTCTTCTTTTTTGTTTTATCAATACTCTTCGTTACTTCAGATTTTCCAGTCTTTTTCATCTCAGACTTCTTCCTCTTTTTTCCAGCAAATATTTCATCAATTTCATTGCATACTTTTTTCGGTGTAGAAGAGGGTTTCTCCTCTTCTGCAACAGTATTCTCCTGCAACTGACTTGATATTTTTTTAGAACTCTTCTTAGTCATTCTAGTAAAAAAAAGCTGCAAATCATATTACAATCTTTGTGAGAACAGAAATATTCAACAAGCATAAAGAAGAAAGGAGATTATGACCAGCTGGGTCAAGATTTTGAACCACAGTTGCTTGGTCCAGCATAACATTCTCGTTTTGGATATTTATCATGGAAAGAGGATGAATTTAAATACTTTTGATGTAATCTGAAACAAAGTGATCCTTAATCAAGACCTAACTAAAAATGTAATATCAGATTTCTAAAATAAGGATGAAAATAAAATAAAAAATAACAAATCTAACTCCAATCAAGACACCTACTTTTTAGACAAGAATTAAAAGACAAGATGTAAACAGGAAAATAGTAACAGAAGGCTTATTACAAGAGCCAGCCAACTGTGTCGCAAGACCTGTAAAAAATTTATATTTGCCCTTCAAACGAAATGTCCAGCTACAGCGAGACAAAATTCAAAACTCCGGACATCAGATACCATGGGCAATTAAAAATGTCATAATATAAAAAACATTTAAGAAAACTAAATTGATGATTAACTTTTGAAACTTGTAAGAGATCAGATGGTAGTGCATGTTAGTAATCATCACATAAACTGCAGAATTAATGGTTTAACATCATCATATCTCTTAGCCTTTAAAAAATGAAAAAAATGAAAACTTCCACGAGGAGAAATTTAATAAGACAAATGAAACTTTTCGGGAAAAATAACAGCAAGAATGAACAAAAAACAATATGATAGGTTGATTAGAAAGGTAAAATTAAAAATGAAAATGCCGAAGCAAAACAACAGATTTTGTTTACATATTAATTAACGGATCAGACAATTATATTTCACCAGGGCGCACCATAGGAGCAAGTAAGACTGGGTGTCAAAAAGATGTCATCAATTCCCATGTTTACACTAAAGAAAGAAAAATCATAGACAACATAGAAATCAAGCAACCATTATTAACAAGCAAAACACATCAGATCCAACTACGCAACACAAATGACAATTCTGAAATATGGGATCAGATAGTCGATCTCTCACCACTTATAAAAGTATATAGTAAGACTGGGTGTCAAAAATCGTATCCTCATATCCCACTGGTCAATGAAAAGTGAAATCAAACTGAAACATAAGTACATAAAAAATGGAAAAGTGAGATTGATTTCAACCAATAAATTTAAAAATTGACAATAACTACCAAGTAGGAGATCAGATAAAACGTCAATCACCATCTTACACCTTGTGGTGCAAATTAAGACTGGGGCGACAAGGTACTATCATCATATCCTTTACAAACACCTCGACAGAACAATGAAAGACATACTGAAAAGTTAA